CATACACACACACACACACACACACACACACACACACACACACACATACATACACACATATATATATACACACACACACACAGTTTGAGTCACAATTATTAGCCCCCCCTGTTTATTTTATTTCCCCAATTTCTGTTTGTTGGAGGGAAGATTTTTTTTCAACACATTTCTAAACATAATAGTTTTACTTACCCATCTCTAATAACTGATTTATTTTATCTTTGCCATAATAATAAATACTTAATAAGGAATATTTGACTAGATATTTTTCTGACTTCAACTGTATGTACACATATTATAGCAATGTGGGTGTGTGTTCAATAGATGCAGATTTATTACATTAGAAATAAAGATGAATTCAAACTTAAATGTTTAAAGCGCTTTTACAATGTAGATTGTGTCAAAGCAGCTTAACATAGAAGTTCTAGTAAATTGAAACTGCTTCAGTCCAATTTTCAGAGTTCAGGTTAGCTCAGTTCAGTGTGGTTTAATTTCACTGCTGAAAGTCCAAACACTGAAGAGCAAATCCATCGATGCACAGCTCCACAAGTGCCAAATCAAGCAAGCCAGTGGTGACAGCAGCGACGAACAAACTTCACCAATCAGCGAAAGTGAAGGAAAAGAAACCTCGAGAGAAACCAGGCTCATTTTTCACAAAACAAAACTGTTTCTTGGAAACTGAAGAAAATGCAAAAAGGGTTGCAAGTGTCCCCACTCTCCGCTAATAGTACATTTAAGCAAATGACATGCTTTAAAAATTGGTTTTGTCATGTCTTTTCAGAGGTTTTGATCAATTTCTCCAAAGTCAAGAATCCTCCGTGGTAAACAAGTTCCAGCAGAAATACTGGAAAACCAAACAAACGCTTATCAAAGTCACTGGAAAGAAGGAGGATGAACATGTTGTTGCCTCGGATGCAGATCTTGATGCTAAACTTGAGGTGAGGAGCAGACAGAAATCTGTTTTTTTTTTTTTTTTTTTTTTTATCTGGTTCTGAATGAATTAAATAGTCTTGTGATGAATGTGTTTTCCCCTCAGGTGTTTCATTCAGTACAGAGAACATGCATGGAGCTTCTCAAGGTGATCGAACAGTATCAAAGGAGGATCAGCCGTACGTGAACGTGCACATCTTTATTAATATCTGATTTCTTTATGAGTTGCAAGTGTGAAGGGCTCTTATAATGTTTAGATTTTAAAGGGATAGCTCATCCCTTACTACACATTTGCCATTATTATGTTCACCCTCAGGTCATTGAAGATATACAGTGGGTGACTTTTTTTCTTTAGCAGAACATTCAGGAAAAATTTGAGTCCAAAAATCATGTAATTATTTAGCAATCACAAAATTAACCATTATCTTTTTTTTTTTTTTTAAATGTGTTGACTTGCATGTAAAATATTTGATTATAATAGAACTCATGTGAAATTATATTTGATAAATAATTAATAGTACTTTGAAATGAATAATATTTTATTTCTTTTTAATTTACTGCCTCAACTTCATCCTTATTAGATTAATTAAATTTGTGTTTACAAATGTTTAAATGAATGCATACATATTAAAGTGGAAATTACTTTAAAGTATATTTTCATTTACTGTAGGTGCTTGTCAGTACATTCGGCAGTTCAAATTTGTCAATATGAATCAACATTAAAATATCTACATTTCTATTGGGTTAACGTTTCTCATCTTAAGATTAAAGTTAAAAGTCATCTTTAAAGTTAAAATTTCAGATTAATATAAAATTATATTTTAATGTATTTTAATTAATTTTAAATAATATTTTTTTTTTAAATCAGTTCATGCATAAGTCTACGTCTTTTCCCCAAGAAATATCTATTTGCTATGCCATTCAAATGATCAAATTATAAATGTGGATTTCAGTCATGATTTATTATCAAAACCTAAATTCTCTTTTCAGTTTTGTCCCAGGAGGAGAATGAACTGGGTCGGTTCCTGCGTTCACAAGGCTCTCAGGACAAAAGTCGTGCTGGAAAGATCATGCAAGCTACTGGAAAAGCACTCTGCTTCTCTTCCCAACAAAGGTTTCTTCATTAATTCATAGTAGGGCTGCACAATATTGGAAAAATTGCACACGTGTATATATACATTCATTCATTTTCTTATCAGCTTAGTCCCTTTATTAATCCGGGGTTGCCACAGCGGAATGAACCGCCAACTTATCCAGCAAGTTTTTACGCAGCGGATGCACTTCCAGCCGCAACCCATCTCTGGGAAACATTCACACACACAATTCACACACACACTACGGACTATTTAGCCTACCCAATTCACCTGTACCGCATGTCTTTGGACTGTGGGGGAAACCGGAGCACCCGGAGGAAACCCACGTGAACGCAGGGAGAACATGCAAACTCCACACAGAAACACCAACTGAGCTGAGGCTTGAACCAGCGACCTTCTTGCTGTGAGGTGACAGCACTACCTAATGCGCCACTGCTTCACCATATATATATATATATATATATATATATATATATATATATATATATATATATATATATATATATATATATATATATATATATATATATATATATATATATATATACATTTTATTTATTTATTTATTTATTTATTTTTTCAATTGACTACAGAACAAACTCTCATTAAACAATGACTTGCCTAATTACATAGTTAAGTGTTTAAATGTCACTTTAAGCAGAATACTAGTATCTTGAAAAAGATCTAGTAAAACATAATGTACTGTCATCATGGCAAAGATAAAAAACTTCAGTTATTGGAAATCCAAATAAACTTAAATTAAATAGTTTGTTTCACATAATAAACTATGATGATGATGATGATGATGTCTGACCTGAGACTGTGGACTGCAGGTTGTTCATGTTCTGGTCCAGTAGTTTAGAAGGCAGAAAGAAATCAGCCTCTTCATCTGTGGTCTGCGTCTCTGCTCCGTTACTGCAGGACAGATCTTCATCTTCTCCAAACACCTCACGCCATTCCTGAGAGAAACCTCCGTCCTCTAAAGAGCTGCTGCCCAGAATCTCATCCAGCAAACTCAAACCGTCAGACAAACCCTCGTCAGCTCCTGAACACAATGCAAAGATGATGTTTTCTGTAAAAACGTACATACTGAACATCGTGAAGAACACTGATCCTTATACTTATGATACTTATGTTTCGTACTGAACATCTTT